AACTGCACAGACCAAGCAGAAATCTTTTACATCTGCAGCTGCTTTCACATTTTTGAGTTCTCTACGTATCTTGTTTTGTTCAAAGGAATCTTCAGGACCCGTCGCTGCAGAGGTAACAGATTACCTCATTTCAGGTGTGCTGCGTTAGAGTGCTCACCTGATGGCACCACTTCTCATTGAATTTACAGCTGAGAAGCAGCAGCTGCTTTGACTACCAACATGATTTTGCAAGTAATACTCGATTTCAAACCTTATTACAGGGCTCAGGTAGCCTTGGCACTACTCCTTAAATTAGAACGGAGCCCTCCAAGCCACGGACATGCACAGAGGGCAGGCGAGGTGGGACAAGCAGCCAAGTGCTGCTTTATGGGACAAGCAGCCAAGTGCTAATACAGACCTGCTCTCAGCTTGGAATAATCAGGAAAAGATTTTACTTTCCATTTTTATATATGAACAGGATTACAAAACTGGAAGTGTTTAACTTATTGACTGGGAATGTCTCCCAAACAGATTAAATTTTAATTTCTCCTGGTTACTCATACAACTTTTCAACATGAACTGTACAGCATGTCTGATTTAATTCCTCCACAGCTTGAAACAATCACCCCAAACCCACAACTGAACTGTCATCATCCAACTCATTCACAAACCTAGTTCTATGTGTTTAAGAACTAACTTGAACTATTATACTTTTATACTTAATAATTTTAACAGAACCGGCCAAATCCACAAAGACGTCTTGCCACTTAAACCAGGATTTTGCCTAAATAACAGAGTACCTTAGCTGTTGTCAATTAACTTTATTAGGCACCAAAGTTCTGCCTACACCCAGGAGTGTGTCAGTCTTGTCAGCATGGAGCATACCAGGAGTTTCTCCCAACAGGCACAGTCCATGACAAAACAGTAGAAGAATACCTAACACATCCATACAGATCTGTCCCCAAGGCTAAGAACAGCAATGATCACCTCTGTTCTCCAAAATGTGAGAGGAAGCATCCCTTTTGCGTTCAGTAACCCAAGAATATTCATTCACTAAAGAATGAGAACCAGGGCCCATTTTCAATTAAAATGCAGGTCTCCTACAGGAATAATTTTAATGACTAGTCTGCCAGGTACTTTCAGATAAGGAAATGAAGCATACTCAGCCCAGCTTGCCGTAGCTGAACAATTTTGACCGTAACAGTAAGAATCTACTATGTCAAAGACTGAGTGAAAACGTGAGTAAAAATGACTTCCAGAAAGGAGATACCCAGACTGTGCTGTGTGGACTACTTCAAGTATTTTACCCAATGACCGTCCTTGCAACAAGCAGTCCCTGGCATTAGGCGAGAACCCTGGCTGGTAGTCAAGAGCCAGCCGCATGTGGCATTCCCTCTCAGATCCAACACGTATTCTTTTCAAGCAGAGGAAACAAGCTCCAAATGGAGAACCTTTAGCCAAAAGAGCCTGTTGCCTATGAGTTAAAGGCAACAAATGTAGGAAAGTAAATTGTCTGTTGGATGGGAATTGTTCGCTAAACTAAGTAAAAAACGTTCTGAGTTAATGCTCTGCTGAGCACTGCAGTACTTCTTCTAGGCACACCTAGAAAGAAAAATCTAGTTCCCTTCAGAATTAGGCAGTAAGTCTTTTTATGGATGTATGTGCTTTGATTCTGCAACCATCACATTTAAAATACCAAGTTCCTTAGTAAATCTGTATTGCATCAGGTTCTTGAATTGCTTCTTTTTTCCCAGATATCATCTATACAAGGAAAAAAAAAATACTGAAAGTATTCTGAAAAGTCTGAATCAAAAAAAGCGAGAGCAAGAAGACCACAGTATTCGCTAACAAGCACAGGAAATGAGCAAGTAGTAAGAAAACTGAACCCACAAATGAACCAAACAATCTGTCAACCTATTTAGGTACAGTAATTCAGATTTAAAAATCAGCAGAAGTGACACAACAGTACAGATTAGACACAGATTTACAGATTAGATTGCAATACCTAAGCAGTCAGTGAGCATTGACTTTTCCTGTAGCAAAATAAACCTGGAAAATATCCAGAAGTTGTGCATGGACACTACAGGTCACGGTGGGAAAGATAAATGAAGCTTCATCAAACACACACTGGGACAGCAGCACCAGAGTAACTGCTTTAGATGGTTCAGGGGAAAAACATGGGGAGAAAAGAGATTTTGAAAGTTAAGACTTGGGAGTGGAAAAAAGCAGGGTAAGTAATTTTAGAGTGCAAGGAACAAGTGACTAGCTACTTTGATTACACATTTTTAGTGTGAGAAAGTCAGAAAATTTGCTCTACAAAACTATACCTAGTGGTGCTAACGCTACAGAATGAGACTGCAGCTGTTTGAGTACAGAAAGAGCAACAGCTGATTTGGTGTTTCAAGACATTCTGCAGTTTGAAACAGCATCCTCAAAGATCCAGGTGGTAGTCTACTGTTATTAGGCAAAGTGGCAGAGCAGTGGGTTCACCTAGAACAGTCCAACATTTTTCAAAATGAAACCTAGTAAAACCAGGATTACACAATAGATCTCCTAGTATAATAAAAGATCAGAGTCCTTTAAAAAAAAGGAAGACAAAATTTGGAAGGAATTTTCTATGTGCTCATGGCTCAGCACTGGAATCTGAAGTGTTCCTTTAATGCAATATTGATACTAAATTAGTATGTTTGTGCTAGAGCCAAATAACAAATAAACACACACCAGAAATAATTATCTTTTTGGAAAGAAAAAAACCCCTTAATTGCAACTTTTCTAAACAAAATATTTTAGCACTTGAAATCTGATGCTTTCAAGAAGACCCTTATGTGAGCAAATGGCCTCTCTTTTGCTCTTGAACATAGCGTAAATCCATCATGCTTCAGTCTAAGAACACTCTGAAGGCTCATTATGAACAGGCCCAGATACATAGCAATAAATTGCCTTTATTTTTACTATAGCAAATGAGTTAACTTAAATAATGGATAAAACAGTAAACCCTGTATTAATTAGGAAGTTTACAAAGCCCTGTTAAGAGATAGTGGATCTGAATGTCTGTTTGGACTTTCTTCCCGCCCCCTTCCTTAATTTCCAGAGTTCAACAGTGGACATGCCAGAAATAGTAAGTAAAGGATACTTCAGACTGAAAGTAAGAAACAGCTTAGATACTGGCATGCAAGTTTTTCCAGCTTTTATGGAGTATTTGATTCTCCAGGAAGAATAAGCCAGTGTGAACAAGATCTCAATAGAGATGTCAGTTATTTTTAATTATACCTCAAGGTTTAAAAAAAGAAAAAATCATTAGAGCATAACATTTTGGACAATACAGAAGTATGGAAGTAAATAATATATCCATCATCCCAGAAGCAAAATCTAATAAAAACTGGGATAATGATACCTGAGATATTACTACTATAAAGTATAGGATGTTCCTGTTAAAGTTATTAAATTCAGTTATTCTCTGAACAAATCAATTGCTTCTCTCAGAAATTATTTGAAAATGTTGCACTTATTTTAGTCTTATTCTCTAGTATCAACAGACACAGTAATTCCCTAAACACAATAATCACAAAATAATGAAACACAAAGGGCGCTTATCTCACCAGTGCACAATAAATTAATTCTCAAAGTCCTAAAAACAGTCTGTAATGTTCTGCACAGTTTAGAAAAGTAGGAGGACACTGTAGCTCTAGCCATTTTCTGTTTAGACTCTTTCGTTTTTTCAGACTCTGAAGTCTGATGCACCTAAAGTGTCATGATGAGCCAAAAATCATTCTTCCAGCTAGTACATGCATTTGTTCATTGCAGTGGATAACAGCAAACCAGTATTTACTAGAAAGGTTAACTGAAGCCTTTCCTGAATTGTAATCCTCAAGTCTTCTAACATTGGTAAGGGGTTGCAGTTTTATCTTACTGGAATCCTGCAGCTATCCTGACTGCCAACACACTGTTCTAGAGTCAAAAGCGATGCTTCTAGAAGTACCACAAGATATCACTGACCATGAAGTCATGCTTAACCTTCTCTCCCATTTGGGCTACAACAGAGTCTGGGAACTTTAAGGGTGGGGTGGAAATCAGCAAACTAAGCACATTATTCACCATCAAGGAACAAAAAAAGGGCTTATTTTATCCTCTAAATTTTTTTTACTACACTCTCTTTTCCCCTCTGAAAACCTCAAGATCTTCCAATCTTTGTTACTGACACTTGCGTGTCAGTAATAAAACATCTACCAGTGCACAAGTACAAAATACATTTTGAACATTTCAATTCTGAGTCTTCCAAAACTGAACCAACCATATGCAGTGAAATCAGCATTGATACTAATTTAGTAAACATAAGAGAGAAATAAGTCATAATGTATGCTTCTTTTCCACGTATAAATAAAATTCTCTTACCTTTTGTTGGACTCTGGTTTTGATCTATAAATCCTTTCAAGTCTCCATTTGTGGAAGTCACACCAACCTGAACAAAACATTTTTGGAGTCTTAAAATACAATAAACCTTTCTATGTTTTCCAGTATGCAACTAACAGTATTATTCTGTTCCACATTTCTGAAACATCATAGTCCTACGGATACTAGAGTCTATCAAGAGCATGACATTCAAAGCAAAGAATCCAAGACATTTACTGTGTATATATGAAGACAAACATAATTTTAGCTAAGTTCTTGCCCCCCAAGCCCCTAAATATTCTGATACTGTACTACATACAACCAAGCAGCCCATTCTGGCTATAAGTGGCTTACAAGTCACTGTCCCCTCCAAGTCAAACAGAGCAGTTGCCACATATAACACAGCAGAAATCTGCCTGATGCCCAGTACTCTCAGTCCTAAGCTGCATGGTGTCACAGGTCTGAGGAGATGTGACTATTGATGCATTTTAAATACATTCCCAAGTCTTCAGATACAAACTGATTTGCCCTGAGGGTAAATTACCAGAGACATGGAGAACTTAAATCACATACAGAATGGTGCATCTCAGATTTTGGCATGTACATAAAGCATAGAAAGGTGGAGTTTGTATAGAAAAAATGTAAGATCATTGTTCCTGGATGAGGGAAGGAAGAGATGGAAAGTCCCTCAGATCCCAACTAACAAGGGATGGGCCCAGCAACAGCAAGTAATGATAAGGCATTCTGCAGTTTCAGAGCATTGTGCTCGTACCACCTTAGTAACCTCTGTTCATTGTTTTGCTTCCAAGATGGAAGCTATGATAAGCACTGAGGGATTGAGCTCCATTGGAGCAGGAGGCAATTAAATGAAATACTAGAAAATATTTTTTTAAATTATAAAATATTATAAAGTATTATAAAATATTGTAAAATTTTAGCATAATTGGGACAAAGAGTTCAGGTACCCAAGTTAAGAAAAATCAACCATACATACAATCAAGGATCAAATATTTGCTTTATTTTACAGATGTATGTAGTAATAATGGAGCATATGCTAGGGCCACTTGTAGAATTTTAATCATATCAAATTAGAGAATCATTTCATTGCAGGCAAATTAAACAGTAGTAGTAACATGACACTAAAATAAACTACACAAGAACAAAAAATACCTACTACAGGCATTCAACCACTCAGTTCCACTAGAGAACTTCTATTCAGCAAGTAATTTTTTAAGGGAAAAATCTGCACATAGCATTGTGACAGACTCTTTTGAAACTACTTCTATTTAGATTTTTTCACCATCAGGAGCAGCATATGAACATTAACTGCTGCTGCACTACCCTGATCAAAAAATATTGCCTAAATGAGCTAAGTTATGTGCTTCTGTAAACAAGCCCTTAGAGGTGCTCAATATAGTTCATCAGTTTATCTCTAATGTTGTCTGTATCAGACTTGCTCTTCCCTGTTACACCCAATTAGACGGTCATGTACTACTTCCAACGGGCAACCAAATGCTTTGGTTGTTACAGACTATGGTATGACGAGAAGTTGCTTTTTGAAACAGAGCAAGTCTGTCTCATTTCTTCCTGTTTTCCCTTTTGTCTCCCACCAGGTGGCAGCGGTGCAGAGGCAGTGCAGCTGGGCTGGGGAGGACATGAACAGGAACGCCTGGATTGGAGCAGGGGAAAGAGGAGGAAGACATGAAAACAAACGCAAAACGTCTATCACGTTTTGGTAGCACGTCCATACAGAAAACAGCAGCGTTCTAGTATTCTTTCCCCTGGGTGCTTGGGCAGCAAGGAAAGCTCATGTGGTAAGAGGTCACTGTTATTCCTTACACTGAGAATATAGTCTTGAGATCTTTACAGAGGTTGGAAAGGTTAGTGAATTGCATAGCATATAGCATTAAAAGGGCATCATGACTGCATAGCCAAGATGAAGAGCCAGCACTCTTGGACCATACTACTGCTGCCTTTGCACAATAAATAACTGCATCAGCTTCTCCCTAGGACCCCTGCCTCTGGAAGAAATAGAACACCACAAATGGGTATACTTAACAAAATGAAAACTGAGTTCTACTTCCATCTGCACCACGGTACCTGCTTTTTTTTTAAAAATAAACCCATAAACATGAGCTAAATAACTAGGTTTGCATAGTTTAATATGCAAAATTTCAAAGACTACATACCAATAAAATATTTGTTCTCTAAAATAACTAAAACCTTGCATTAAAGTGAACAGCAAAAACATATTTCTATATTCAGCACAAGAATAGGTTGCCCAGACTGAATATCTTATGTCTGTCCTTGGAGGTTTTCAAAACTCGTAGCCTGAACAAAGCACCAAGCAACTGGGTTCTGAAATCAAGTGTGAAAGAGCTTTACACAAAGCACCAGAGTAGATGGCCTCCTGAGATCCCTTCTGACCCATGTCACTCTATAACTCTTATCACACAACACTCCATGGATTTTATTGGCATTGGTATTTATCCTTTGCAAGGTCAAAACCACAAATTATTTGGATTTGTGCAGCTGTTTCACATACATCAGTAGAATTACCTATTTATACTACAGTTGAATATGGCCTATGAAATAAGCAAGTCAAAGGGCTTTGCATATACACATCAATTTATTTTCTGGCTTGGTCAGCTTGACCCAAACAGTCAGACATTAGACATCTGAAAGCCTTACCTGGAACTCAACACCAAATGAAGCTATTAATAAAGCCAACAGAAAAGACATTTCCAAGACTTGAGAATGAATTTAACCAAACTATGCCCTTAGCATCAATCTAACCAAATACGCACAAAAGCTTTTGCAGTTACTGAACAGAGAGCCATGCTAGGGTTATCTGCACTATTATTGTGGGGTACTTCTTTAGTCATGTTGGTTCCTAAACCTGTTCAGCTTTAATTAGACTGTAGGATGCCCCATCAAAGGCAGTCAACAGGTAAATTGCCCAGGGCCCAAAGTCATACTCAACTCACTGACCACCAAGCTTAATCAGAACTGTTCTCTACAAATTGCGTATCTCAGGAAGCACAGCTCATTAGGCAGAAAATTAAGGTCAGGATGTTAGACATTTCATAAGCTTCCTCAGAACTTAGGATAGGGGAGTCATGTATAAAGCCTCTAGACACCATAATACAGACTTTTTAATGCGGCAGACAAAGAAACAGGAAGGCCCTCAGTCTTCCAGAAACCGACATTAGTAAAGAAATATGCCGTCTTGCTGTTTTTTTCTTGAGTTTTGAGACTCAGACTCAGTAGAAGTATTTTACTCTGGTGCAAAGGTGAGATGCTGCAACAAAATGAGAAGCGCTCTGGTAAGTCTGGAGCAATGTTAAGAGGAATCATAGAATACCTCAGGTTGGAAGGGACCCACAAGGATCAGTAAGTAAACAGCATAAAGCACTGCTCCAGTTTTCAACCTGACCTATAGCTGAGTAAACTTGCCAGCCTTAAAGAGCTTCTAACCAGTTTAAATTTGTCAAAATACTGCAGAAGATGATGGGGTACACATTTGTGATATACAAAAATTGGACAAGATTTTTTAATTTGAAGGTCTTTGTGTTTGATTTCTTGTAAGGACAAACACAAATACCTTTCAATTCTGAAAGGCAGAAGTGACTCGCAGCATGCCAATATAAAAAGTAATACATCTTGTAGAATTATACTTACATTTTTTGCCGTCATGTCAGACAATATTGCTTTATATTCTGTAAAACCATAAGATACCCCTTTTCATCTTCACAGAATCTTTAAAATGAACATCCTGTAAGAAAGTTAAAAAAAAATCTTAGAATATATTTTCAGTTACCTCTCTCGCTGAAACCCTGCATCTCCAGAGGATAGAGATTGGTTTGTTTTGTTTTTTTTATTTTTTAATAAAATCAATCACCTCAATAGTCAGGTTCTGTGCAGATACTAGAAATGTACATTACTTGGAACAGGCAGAGATGTATAAAGGCCCAACTTTACACAGAGAGGCCTAACTATATGAATGTGGTAGCAAAGCGTGTCATACCATTACTAAAGTCTTGTAATTAAAACCATGCAATTATTTGCATCTAATGCAGATTGACTAAAAACTGGAAGTGACTTAATTCTCTATCATGTCTTTAGCCTCCAACAACAGAGTAAGTTCCCAATTCCATCACTGCAGACATCCAAAGATCTTGATAAAAAGTAGGAAATACCGTCAAATGTCTACACACAGCAAACATTAAGTATTTTTAGGAAACATCCAAGAAAAAACATGCCAGTTCAAACTCATCTTTTCAATGTTTTCAGGCTTTTTTATTAAACCTATGTAATTAGAATTGTAATATTAGAATTCCAAGAAAAGACAAACATTTTGGTATACTGAAAAATACTTCAAAGTGACTTCTTTTTTAAATCAAAACTTCCAGAAGTCTTACAGAAAACAGAAGAAAATGAGTTACAAATCAATGCTGGCAGCACAAACCATTTTAAAGATAGAATTAACTTGACAAAACATTTAAGTACTTGGAAGTACTTTGCAAGTACTACTTGCTGGTAAAAAAAATTGACTACAAGAGACATCTGAATTGCACTTGGATGTGTAAGAGGGAGAACTGTTCACACTTTCAAGTGTGGAATCAATCCAGGAAAATCTTTTGGAAGTTCCCTAAACTAGTTACCAAATATGAGTCGTGACCATTTACAGGAGAACTCACCAGCTACAAAAGCAGGGTGCAATTCATAGTATTTCCTCTATCTTTTAACCTACACAGAGTTTGAGAACAGCCAGTGTCTTCACTTCCCTTCTAGAAAAGTGCCAAAAATTGTTTCAGTAGTGTGCATAGCTAATGGGGAACTCTACTATCACTGCATTAGTGGGTTGGGACAATCCAGAAGAATTCTAAATTCTAGGATGTTTCTATAATTTTCTTAGTTTATTCAGACATCATATAAATATTAGAGTTAGTGGAAAAACAATTTATTCAACTTAGAGGTGTTCTCCATTTCCTGTTGAATGAGTTGAATTTATCTTCCTTAGTGCCTCAATTTACTGCAGCCGTAATTAAGCAGTTAGTCCAGCATGTGAACACCACACAATTCTGTCTACTAAGACATTCTCCCATGAAAACTTGTAAGTTTTAGTTTCACAATAAAATAGCCAAGAAAATAAGAAGCATTTTTCTCTGCCTTGAGAGAAGACACTACAGAGAGATATGTATTCACACCATGGGGAAAAGGGCTACTGGATCCGTGTAGCAATCCTGAAACCTAAAAAAGAGCCACAGAAAAGCCATAAAGCTTTGGTGATCATGGCAAAGAGCAAATATTGAATCCTTGCATTGTGTCTGAAAACTATATTCTACGTGCCTTTTCTTTTCTACCTTCCTTCTCCTTCCACACAAACTCTCCAAATACATCATCTAGAGCTCTGGCCAAAATTCATTATGCAGTTTGACCTCCTTCTCTTGCTATAAGAGGCTTTACAATTAATTTACTGAAATAAAACATAAGAACACATTTGGTAAGCAGTTTTAACCAGTTTACAGATAAGCAAACTAGTTTCATCTTTGACAAGTTATTTGCTGTCAAGCTTAGTGATCCACAAGGTATTGTCCACAAACATTACAGTCCTTTGCCACAATGCTCTTCAGCCAGTACGAACAGTTGGTATTCTTCCAGCTTTATGAACACATTCTGTCAAGCTCGGGAAGCCAGACTTTGTGACCCCACCATCTGCCATGACCTCTTGTCAGGTTCAGACAAAAGAACCTACAGATGGCCTCAAAATGGAGATTCTCTTCATTCCCAATTGCTGTTTGACAGCTTGCACCACACAGATAGAAAAACATAAAACTCAACCTTTTTGTTCTTTAGCTGGTTTCCTACTGAAATGAAGCTGCATAAAGACAGGTTTAGAGCCTGAAGCACGAGACACAAAGACTGCTTTATTTGAACTAGGGTTGTCCCTTCATAATCTAAGCCTTGGTTTATAATACACTCCCATAATTTGGACTTTTGGTCAAATATTGTACAGCACAGTGAGCCAACCGAACTGTCTGACGTCAATTTTCAGTAGTAGTTTCTTCTAAAACATATGTTGCTTAATCACTTATGCCAATGACATTAAAAAGCTAGTTTGGGCATTACATTTACAAAAGCCCAGATAATCAAGCTCTAGTTACAACAAAACAGTGCAAGAGTGTTTATCTGTACCTATTCTCGTTACAAGTTAAAAGCCAGATTTGTTCTGAAGTTTCAGTGATACTGAAGCTGAATCCCAGTACAAGAAACAATGCAAAACAGAAAACAGTTATCTGCAGAAAAATACTATATTCCTTCGTAGGTTTATTTCCTGTAGTCCAAAGTCTTATTTTTAAGTTATCCCTTTAAGGCACACATACTGGCTAAAATCTAATAGTAGAAAAGAATAAAGCCTTGTACTGTAATAGTCTATTTTCTGCCCCCCAAAATTAAGCTTTACCAAACTTATCCTGGTTTCTTATCAGTACTTCACATATCACACCTTCACAAAGACCAGCATCACACAAAAATTCTCCCCAGTCCCAGAGTCCACTTCCACTTCACAACAGAAAGTATAATTTATGCAAGTCTTACGTCAGATTAAACATCTACAAATTAAGACAAGTATTGGACAGTTACCTAAGTTGTTATGATCAAAAGTCTTCATGGAACACAGAAAAAAGTGTAGAGGTATTTTAGTATGCTAGAATTAATTTTATCATCACCAAAGAGTGTTTTTTACATTTACTTGATCAAGAGTATTGTAAAATGAAAATTATTCCAAGTAACTGGGTCAGCTAAGAGGAAAGAAAGTATCATCAGTTTCAAGAAAAAGAAACCTGTGTAATGCCAACCTTTCCACTAGAAATTAGTTTATATTCTTCCCACCCCTCTCCACAGTACTATCTTTCAAGCTACAGTACTACAAAGCTCATTTCAGAAGACAGCAGTAACAAAAAGACTCCTTATTAATCAGTACAAGCTCGGTTTTAAACCACTAATTTATGCACAGCATCTACATGGATTAGACCACCTGTTACACATATGTTGCTTCATTGTGTCTCAGTTTTCAGACCAGTAAAATTTCAGAATTACAAAATACTTATCAGAAATCCACCTGCTCCCAGGAAGTGTTTCCCCATCTTCTTCCTAAAAACATTTCAATATCCCAACTCCTTTTTGAAGCAACTGAGATAAAAAAAAGGACCAATTTTAGTGAAAATAGCTGTATGTACTAGTCAGATTAATTTCTTGGCACAGAAATACAACCTTGTTATCAAATTTCTGAAATTTAAATTACAGATTGTGCATCTCTGTAAGACTCCATTGATTTATCAACTCTTTTTCGTGAGTCCTCTTCAGATGACTTAGTTACAATTTTATCCTTTATTTGTGTATAAAACTTGGTCTACAAACTGCAAAAACCAGGAATAACCATGTCCGTATAACATCCACCTTGTCACTTAAAGAAGAACTTCAAAAAGCCAACCAAGGGGTTTATTCGACAAGTCACACACACACAGAATCGGAAGTAACTCACCATCTTCAGTTATCACGCAGTAATTTTTATTTTGAAAATAATATTAGAAAGTACCTCTTATGAAACATTAGAAAGGAACTCCCACTATGATGTGCATGATGAGGATCTTGCAGGTACCACAACTTATTTTTGCAGCTTTTACTGTGAGCAACTGTATGCTTTCAAAAAAGCCCTAATAACAGACAAGGTGACTAGAGAGACTGAAAAAAGGAAATCTAAGTGACTTCACTGCTAAATGATATTAGGAGTTTTTAACAAAATAAAATCACTTGGGAAGAGTAGTGAGTTTAAAAGCTTCATCGTTTAATGGTTTTTATGTGACTTAAAAGACTGCAACCTATGAATCCAAAGTACAGAAGTTTTCACTACTACATGGCACAAAACCAAATAGAGCATGACTGACACACAAGAAATCAGAAGGAACAAAACCAAATAAGTACCTACAATTGACCAAGTTCTCCTAAGTTGCTGTGATTGAGCAAAATGCGAATGTATCATCAGAACAAATTAACCAACACCTCCTGACAACAGTAGTAATTATGACTCAAGTTTACACAGTACAAAGAACCTGGAAAACCAGACAAGGCCTGCATGTGAGTTCAACGAATATAAACTTTAGCACTTAAACTATATAATGAACAACCAACATTTAGTGTGGTTTGCTAAAAGCATGTCAGGGGAAATGTCCCCTTAAGAACCTCATGCAGCAATGAATCAGATCCCTTTCAATACTCTCAGACTTGATCCCCAATGCTACATCCCCATTACTCTTGCTACTCACTATATTTACTCTCACTGTTATACAAATTATCACTAGCAAAAGCACTGTTGATGGAGGCTAGCGAGTATCTTGAATCCCAGGGATGAAAACAGGTCTGAGTGGATGTAGAAGTGACAAGAACACACAACACAAGAATAAAAATCCAAAGCTGTAATCAAACGCTCCCCTAGATGAAAGCGCCCAAAGTCTCAATGCACCTAACTGCGCTGCTGAGCCTCAAGTTCTGCTGCTTGTCCAGTCATGTTAGTGCTTAGACCCAAATCCCATCAACCTGGAACTAGATATTCCTTCCCTTAAGGGACTCAGTTTCTTAGGCATGCTCTTAGACATGCCCAATGTCATGCAAGTACTAGCGGTAAACTGTATGTCTAAAAATAGGAGCAGCACTCATGGCTTATTTCAAAATGAATGAGGCAAAGCATGTCCCTTATTGCTCAAATAAGGAAGACGTTACATTAAACATGTGGAATAATTCCCAAGTACTTGAAGCTTTGAAGGCTCTTTTAATTCCCCAAACCAGCTTACTGTCATTCAAGATAAAGTACATTAGGCTTGACATTAGAACAGTGGATAACTTTCATGCAGCACTTATAAAGATGATCTAAAATTTCTTTTTAAGTTTTATAGACAACTTACTTTTATCAACACAGATATATTTGGAATAAACAGAAATTTAGTTGCAGTTCTTTTAAGTAGACAATCTATTCTATAAGCTCATCTTTTGTTCTCTAACTAGGTTTCTAGCCCAGGGTTTTTTTCATAGCTGACTATCATACAGCGCACAACATTAAGAAGTCTACTGCTTCAGTGGGAAGAGGCAGGTACAACTTCCTTTCAGAGTAAAAAGCACACTGTATTTTCACAAACATATTTTTGCCTTAAGAAACTGAATTTTAGCAACAGATTGACATTTGAAAAAAATTAAGCAATCTATATGAATGACTGTAAAGTATCTTGGTAGGGCAGTCTTTGTGCATTGCCAATAATACATTAGCTCCTCTCTCAATTAAGCTCAGCTGAAAAGAGCATCTTTTTGACTACTGAGACATC